TGCGAAAACAATCAAATTACATCAAGAATCCCGAAATTGGTCCAACCCGACCTCCGGGCCCACGTCTCGAAATTCGATAAAAATCACATCAATAGAATCCTTATCCTCCCACGAGTCCATACATACCAAGAACATCAAAATCCGACCACAAACGACCCCTCAAATCTCTAAATCAAGGTCTCCAATTTCAAACCCTAAACCCCCAATTTTAACCACTAACTTCCATAAATTCCATGTCTAATTAGTAAAATATGACCATGGAACGAGTTTTAGTTCCATGAACCTTACCTCCACGAAGTTCCCTTGAATTCACTCTTCAAAATCTCCCAATAAGCTTCAATCCCGGATAAAAATGGTGGAAAACAACCCAAATTTCGCGAAGGGGAACTTATATACTTCGTGGCCCAGGGATTCCACACCTGCGGCCCTTTACCGCTTCTGCGGTCTAACCAACCGCATATGCGGTTTCCACTTAAAGTCCTGGGACCGCACCTGCGCCTCGCTTACCGCACCTGCGGTCTCACATGTGTGTTCAACCTTCCGCACCTGTGACTTCTGGTCTTCTAGCTCATGGCCGCATCTGCGGCTGCTCTAATGCTTCTGCGATCTCGCACCTGCGGTCCCCAATTCGCAGGTGCGGTTATGATAGGAACTCAGCAGCTTCAGCTGCAAATTCGAACTTCCAACTTCCCGATAACCATCCGAAATCACCCCGAGGCCCCCGGGACCTCAACCAAAAGTACGAACAAGTCATATACCACTATTAAAATTTATACCAATTTTCGAAACACTTAAGACAACATCAAATTATCATAACGCCCTCGGATTCAAGCCTAAGGTTTCCAAAACTTCCGAATCTCGTCCGAATGACCTGAAATTTTGCACACACGTCAGAAATGACACAACGGACCTACTCCAATTTTCGGAATTCCATTCCGACCCCGATATCAAAATTTTCACTACCAACCAGAAAACGCCAAAATTCCAATTTCGCCAATTCAAGCCTAAATCTACCACGGACCTCCAAAATACATTCTGATCACGCTCCTAAGTCCCAAATCACCTCACGAAGCTATTCGAACCATAAAAACCAAATTCCGAGATCGTTTTCACACAAGGCAACTTCCGATTGACTTTTCCAACTAAAAGGCCATCTTAAGAGACTAAGTGTCTCATAACTCTCCAAAACTCCTTCAAACCCGAACCTACCGACACGATACGATGAAATGAAGCTGAACAACACATAAAGAAGCAGAAATGAGGAAAACGGAGCGATAACTCATGAAACGTCCGGCCGGGTCGTTAAACTATCCCGGCAAGTCATATAACAGCTATAAAGTACAAAAATGAGCAGTAAATGGGAGAACGGGGCTACAACTCTCAAAACGACCGGCTTGATCGTTACACCTCCCCAGACCCACTTGTGAGATTCCACTAGGTTGTTGTTATTGTTGTATGTCCAAATGCCCACTAAATGTAAACAGACTAATTAGTATGTAAAGAATATTACACTGTAGAGCGTTCAGTTTTCAAATACAAGAATTTACAACAAGCAAAATAAGAGAGGAAAAAGAACATAAAGTTCATTTTTCCCAAATTTAGGACCCGTTTGGACAGAGATTCCCAATTTTTTTTTTTTTTTTTTTTTTTTTTGAAAAGGTTGATTTGGATAAGTTTAATGTGAAATTGAAAATGTGTTTGGACATGAATTTCGGTGCAAGTTTTGACATGTTACAAAGTTCTTTTTTTCAGCTAAAAAATCCCAAATGGTCATGATTTGGCCAAAAAAGAGGTCTTAAGCTATATTTGGGATTTGAATTTTTGGTTTTCAAAATTTCCCAAAAACTAGATTAGTTCTATTAAGAAACACATATTTGAATTTATTTTTGAAAAAAATTCAAAACTTATGGCCAAATGCCCAGTTAGTTTGATTTGGAAACTCTTCCTGGGCAAAAGATCATTCGACAGAGGAATTGCATTTTTTCTACAAAAGTGAGATTATCAAATAGAAACAATATTGGCTCAAGAGATTACTAAAACAGTGATCATTTTGAATCCAAAACAAATACCTTTACTGTTTTGACGGCAGATTTGTTCAAAAGTTTTAGTTGCTTTTCTAACTCTGCATCTTCTAGTTCAGATAGATTTTTTTCTCCTTGAACACCATTATAACTCAAAAGTAAATATAGCACCAACAAAGTTTGTCGAACAATTCTTTGATGCATCCCGAATTCTTTCATTTTTTTTTCAGTGTGAATATCAGAATATTTTTTTTAAAAAAATCGAATTAATTTATAAAATATGAAATATCTAAAAAGTATACTTGGTTTGCTAGGTACATGAGACCGTTGCTATTATGAGGATAACGTTATTTAGAGGAATAGAAGAGCATTAACTTGACAATTATACCATGATATTAAACTTATATAGTCTTGTGAAACGTGATTAACCGAATCTACAAAAAAAAAAAAAAAAAATGTTCTTTTAGTAAATGTTTATTGCTCATTTCTAAGTAATATCCAAAATAACAATAGGAACATAGATTTCAGCAGATTAACTGAATCTACACAAGTTATTTGTTAATGAATATTTATAGATCGACATAATATCCAGATAAGAACTTTTGACCAGCGATTGTCACTCTCTTTGTCAAAATTTTGGTGGGGATAGTGGGTGATGATGGCCGATAATGCTGGCAGTTATGATTGAGGATTATGGTTGCGTGGTGGTGGTGGTAGTGGTTGAGTATGGTGGTGGTGGTGGCATGGTGGTAGTTGATAATGGTAGGCGGCGGCGGCAGTTAATAACGAATATGTGATAACATCTTAATGAAATTAAGTCTCTGTTATAGATCTTAATCATACAAACCTATTCAGACCCATTAAGTGGTTATGAAGTAAAAAAACAAACACACTTAGTGATTAAGATCTGAATAATTAAGATTCAGATTTTAAAAATAAACGCACTTAATGTCTGAGATCTGAATGATTAAGATTCAGACATCCATTAAGTGCAAACAAATGAGGCCTTAGACTCTTTAACTTTTCCTACTGAACTGGATTTCCCACTTCAGCAGAAAAAGTTTTTCAATAAATTAAAAAATCGATCGTATTTCAATAATTTTTCGATAAAATACGCATTTTCTTTGTTGACCATGGCACTCTAAAAAACAGAATTTGAAGGTGTTTAAATTGAGTTTTTAGTTGATCAAACTAACTTTTAAGCTCTTTTTATTTTATTTTTTAAAAATATTTTGGCATGTTGAGAAACAGGGGCGGTCCTTCCGAAAGCAGGTAAAGCAACTGCTTTAGATCCCACATTTATAGGGGTCCCATTTTTTGTTTCACCTAATAGGTTTTATATATGTTTTAAAAAAAGTTATGTGAAGTGAAAATGTTTGATTTCATTCTTTAATAATATAGAAAAGAAAGATTTGCAACTGTTATAATTCCTGCCAAGAAATTGCACTTGAAATGGATATTGAACCAGAATTTGGTAAGACATGTGATATATAGGAAGGAATAATTTGATGAAAATGTTGATAATCAAACCTCATAATCTCTCGAAAAACATTTTAGAATTTATTCCTTTTTATACATAGTAAATAAAGCTATTTTTTCACTTTAAAATAAATTTGAACAATTCGAAGCATATGAAATTTAGCGGTAAAACTGAAATTACCAGGAGATGGAAATTTGAAAGAAAATATTATCTTAATCTTGCATGTTACTTAAAGTATAATAATCAATCCGATATTGATGGTTTAGATTTATTTTCTGAATTAACTGTTAAGAAAAATAATACAATTAGAAGATAACAGTTTAATTGATATACTCAATCAAATAAAAAGATTTGTTTCTTTTTCAAATGCCTATACTGCTTATAAAATAAAGTTTATAACTCTTCTTATTGTTGCTTCAGTGGAAAGAAGCTTTTCAAAATTAAAACTGATAAAATCTTACATAAGATCAACAACGTCTCAGGAGAGGTTAATGGATTAGCTATATGGTCTATTGGGAAAGACTTACTAGGAGACATTTATTATAGGAAATTTTTTTAATAATTTTGCATATAAAAAAGGCTAGAAAAATAGATTTTAAATTAAAAATAATATATTTTTTTGTCTCAAAAAAAGTCAAGGCCCCTCATAAAATTTGTCTTTAGGCACAAAATTCGCCGGGCTCCACTATTGAGAAAGTTGTTAAAATAAGTTAATAGTACTTAAAATAAGCCAAAAGCTATAAATTGGGCAATTCCAACTTGTTGCTTTTTAATTTAAAAGTTATCTATGTTTGACTGAGCATTTTATTATTATATCCCTTATAAGTTTTTATAATTCCAAAAATACCTTCAAATCAATTCCCACAATATTTCTTTTCTCTTCTTTCTTTACTCCACCATGGACATTCTTCTTCCTTGTCTCCATCTTTATCTGGCCTCTCTCAATTGCCCCGTTCTTCAGTTTTTTTTTCATCTTTAGAATTTAATTTGTGCAATCTATTTCTAGTAAGTTGGTATATCATCAAAAAAAACACAGGATGACAATCTATGGTCAGATTTGTCTTTTTAAATCACTTAGAGGTGAACAATCAAGCTTAAATGCATAATAAACTTTGACACCTGTCGATTCTATTAATTTTACTGATAATCTATGATCAGATTATCTTTTTGGATTATACATAGAAGAGAACAATCAACATTCATTACCAGAAAATCTTCCCTGGATTATGTTAATCATGCTTTAATAAATTACACTTATTTAATATATATGTATAATAGCCATTTCCCCTTGCTCCTCTATATAACATCTTCCCCATAGTAGGAAAAAGGATATATAGGTGCTCAAAAATTCAACTCTCATACATCTTGTAAGTCAAGTTAGTTAGTTGTTTAGTATCTTCAATGTGTTAATAATTTTGTCTTTAAAGTATTTTTTTTTTAATTTTACATATAAATATTTATCATTCAAATCTGTAAAGATAATTTAATGGATTCAGATAATGCCGATTCGTCAGCAAATTGTTCGACAAACTTTATTAGTGTTATATTTTCTTCTGAGCTATGATGGAGTTCAAGGAGAAATAAAGCTGTCCGAATTAGAGGATTTAGAGTTGGAGAAACAACTTAAATTGTTGAACAAGCCAGCGACCAAAACAATTAAGGTATATAATCAGAGAAAAAAAATCATATTCATAAGTCTCTCGAGTTTTTTTTTTTTTTAAATTTCTCTCAAGTTTTTTTTAATTGGATGTCCCGAAGGGACTAATAAGCAAGCGTTTGGCTATAGATTCTAAATTTATTTTGAAAAAATCATATTTGGGTGAAGTTTGGTTTGAAGATGAAAATGTGTTTGGACATAAATTTTCAAAACATATTTCACTTTCTTTTTTTTTTTTTGAAAAAAACATGAAACATGAGTTATACCCACCAATTCTAAAAAGTATCATAAATACCCAATGGTGCATTTATCAATAATATTCATTATATTTTCGCAACTCATAGTCCTGAACATTAATAAATTTGGTACAAAATTATCATTTTTATAATGAACTACATCATACACTATCAGACCGAGAAGACGAAACAGCATTGTTACAAAATAATAAGTGATGGGCTCTTTTATAAATTACAAAAGTTTGGGGCAATTTTTAAAAAATACACTAGTGATATTTTGGGCCAAAACTAGCTCTTGAGCTGGTTTTAGGATTGGGTTTTGGGAATTTGCCAAAACACTAACTTGTTTTAAATTGATTTTATCCTATATTCTTTTCTTATAAACTGATATTGTATTTGAAAATTAAGATTTTTGTATGTCATAATACTTTCCGCCTAGTTTCTAACTTCATTTTATCTTGAAAATTACAAATGAATGAAAATGGCTTCGATAAAAGCATATTAATTTCCTTTGAAACTCAACATTGATTAATTAATCCAAAGATGGAATAGTGATTATCATCTCGTGGACTTTTTTTATTGGGTAAAATTTGTACGTATTCAGAGGTCACATATTGAACATCAATTAGTGTAATCAAGATTACGTATTTATAATGTTTTGGATGACAGACTAAATATGGAGATACGTATGATTGTGTGGATTTCTACAAACAACCTGCATTTGATCATCCGTTGTTAAAGAATCACAATTTCCATCCAAAGGCATGTATCTACTCCTTTTATTTACCTTCAACTTTTTAATAATAATTTTTGAATTGTTGACACGCAAAAATTTAATATTTGATGAACAGGTGAAACCTACTTTAACTAGGACACTGCACAATTCAGATATCTCAGCAGTTAATAAGTTATCGAGCATATCGTTAAAGAAAAAAGGTTGTCCTTCTGGAACAGTTCCCATCAGAAGAGTTACCAAAGACGACCTTATTAGACACAAACATATTCCACCGCCAGAAACTATCATTGAAGCTCAATTGACTAATGTAAGATAATGTTATCCTTAATCATTGCTTATCTTGAATAATTTATTTCAAAAAAAGATAAGTATTGACTTCATTCTTAGAATCTAATAGTTTAAGCATTAATAGAATTATAATTAGAAAAAAAGTACATTAAAAAATTAAAAATAATGTTTGGCTTCCATCATTACGGCAACTCATATATTATTTTTCAACAGATTAACAATAACAGTGAGCCCAAAAGAAGTTACATATTCTCGCATGGATACAAGGTACGTATATAAATATGAATATTTATCATATCTTAGTTTTGCAATTTTGTATTTTCCTTTATGACAATCTAATGACAAATCAAAGGACTAGCTTTTAACATGGTTATCTTTTCTAATAACCAAAAAAAAAAAAACCATTAAGATATTTAGTCTGACACAATAAGGCACTTCTTAGAATGTCATATTGAGTAAAGATTTGTGCGCGATCAGTATTTACACTAAATTATACTAATTTATCGTTGTTAAGTCATAAATTAGAGTGAGAATGTTGCATAACAAAATTAGGATTTTAGGCGAATATAAATAGGCTAAATTTGATATACCTAGTCATTTGTTAACAAAAATATTCGTTTTCTATGTTCAGCGTGCAATAGCTCAAATTCCAAATAATCCAAATAATAAGTTTGCCGGAGCTGGAATGACGGCTAATATATATAATCCCCGTGTTGAAGGTCAACAACACAGTGCAGTTCGATTGAAAATCTTCAAAGGATATGACGTTTTACAAGTTGGCTGGAGAGTAAGTTTAACCAGTTGTTCATGAATAGTTGGTTGCTCCGATTTAATAATCATGATAATCCTATTTCACATTTCAGGTGGATCCAACACTATATAACGATACTAATACTAGACTTTATATACATACGCAGGTAAATCGTCTTATCTAATTTAAATCGTCGTAGCTATTTACCTCAATTGGAAAGATAAGATGCATATATAATTTATGTTTACTAGGTTGGTAATAAGCATTGCTTCAATACACTATGTTCTGGATTTGTCCTCGTAAATACTGAGTTACCTGTTGATATGGTATTTGATGAGATTTCACATCGTGGAGCTAAAGTCGTAGTGGAGATCACAATGTTCCTCCAACGGGTACGTTTTATAATTTTTTTTTTTATGTATAATTATTTATGAAGTTGGGTCTAATAATACAATTGCAAGGATTAGAATTGAAATGTACAAAATTGTAATACATATATTTTCCTATGAAAAAGGATCCAGCCAATGGACTGTGGTGGCTTTTGATTGGTGAAAACTACGACGAAGTTGGTTTTTGGCCTCAAAGAATTTTTACTGACTTGGCAAGCTTGGCTACTCATGTTGAGTTTGGAGGAGTCGTGTATATTCCACCAGGTGGGCCTAAACCTCCGATGGGCTCTAGTTGTTTTCCTATTGCAGATCCATTGTATGATGCTTATTGTAGGAGACTTCACGTTTTTATCAATGACAGTAATGAGACGGTACATGTAGACACAACCATTGCACAAGCTGAGGATCCTAATTCATATGAGGTTAGGGATGTACCACATTGGGGACATGGAAAGTTTCCGCATTTTATATTTTATGGAGGACGTGGTGATATCGACACATGGTGTTAATTACTTATATGACGATGTTTACTTTCCTATGTTTCAAATAAATATGTCTTCTTTTTTTGCGTTTTTTTCTCATAAATTTCGCACGGTGTCCGACTTAAAAATTTCTTCTCACAAAACTCTGTCATTCTCACTAGAAAAAAATATATGACATCGACCCCATAAAGCTAAATTTGAACGAAGAAATCATTAGACCGATTGTACAATATTTAGAAAAGTACACTGATTTAATCTTGCTTTAAAAAATGAAACCTCCCCTAGATCTTGTTAATCATGCTTTAGAAAATTACACTGATTTAAGATATCTTATAGTAGGGGTGTGTTCATAGGTTGTTTGGTTCGATTTTTTATTTACCAAATCAAATCAACTATTTCAGTTTTTTAAATCTATAAACCAAATTAAATCAACAAAAATTGCTTTTTATTTCGATTTTTTCAACTTTTTTCTCGATAAGATCTCCACAAGATACAGCGTGTAACTAGCAGGGGCGGATTTAGGGGGGCGGAAGGAGGTTCGCACGAACTCCCTTCACCGAAAAATTACACTGTATATATAAGGTAAAATCAGGTTTTTACCTCTATATATTAAGTTTTGAACCCCCTTAACACAACCCAAAAGTGTAGTTTAGTGGTCAAGGGAGTTCAAAACTTTCATAAGGTTGTAGGTTCAATTCCTATTAGCTATAAAAAACATTTTTGAACCCCCTTCGTGGAGATCCTGTCTCTGCCACTGGTAACTAGTGCTTCCAAATATTTCGTATGTCCTAATAAGATATAACAATTATATGGTGCTTACTAAGTATACGTGGTCGACAAGTAATATAAGATTGTAAGTTCAGATATCGTACCCACAGGGACTTGTGATTAACTATCAACTAATCTAAACCAANGCTCCCCCTAAGAGTTAAGATCTTGCTCTACTGAATCTTATATGCAATCTAGAATTTCCTCTCCCGAGTTCAATCCTAGATTCATACATAGTATTCAATTGGTGATCAAACAATCAAATAATTAAGCGCAAGATTGAATAAATAAACCAATATGATAAAATAATAAGAACAATTCAAGCTTCAAACTACTACGTTCATGTAGCACCCAAAACTCTAGAACTAATGAACTATAAAATTAAAGGAAGAGAAAAAAAAACTAGTTAGAAGCCTCCTCCAAGCGTGGTGTGTGTTCCCACACGTGAATTCCCTTCAAAGTGTGTTGGATATCTCCCAAATTAAGTTTAAAACCCCTTTTATATGAGTTGGGATCGTGTAGAATCAAAATAATCTTATCCCGAGCGAAATAGGAAAATCCCCGCAACACAGCGTCCAGGCCAGCGCTTGGTGCCGGACCTGGCGCTGGAGGCAGAACGTTTTTCAATTTTTGCCTTCTCTTCTTTCAACTGAATTGGCCTTCCTTCTTTTGAATTGTAAAATTCCTTGGTTGTCTCCACTTGGGGGGACAAAACCCAAAGGGTGTCCCCCCTTTTTTTCATTATTTAATTTTCTTTCTTTTTCTTCCGCGTTTATTCAATTTTGTTCCAAATCTCTACATCTTCATACCGCTATATTCCTACACAATTAAAATATAATATTAAGAACAAAATAATATAATTAAACTCAAAAGACGATTAAAACTACTAGAATATGAGGGAATAATGGGTAAATATATGCATTTTTGGCCGAACATCAACACCCCACACTTAGACTCTTGCTCGTCCTCGAGTAAGCATTAAAACCACTCTCAACAAATCAAGCCTAGAAACACCAACACTTTGGTAGATACTAACAATTAGGCCCTATAGCAACTCAAACCATCATATATTACTTCCTCATCATCGTGCAAGATATACAAGTTACAAACAAACAACAAACTTTTAACCTCCTAACCTCAAAGACGGACTCTGACTTACGAAATTTATGCTCGCTCACCTACTTTGTCTAAGAAGCTAATAACATCACCTATCTATCATGAAACAAGTGCCCTCACAAAAATAAATAGTCCATACACTCAAATCAAAGAATTATTATAATTTAAGGACTTAGCATCAAAGCACAACTCTCGCCTCACAAACGAATTCACATGTATGCACAAAGAACCATAGGATTGCCCATTATGTACATCTCTATTAATTAAGTATGCTCGAATAAATCAAATAGGACTTTAACGGGTTGTAATGTGGCTAAGGGACGGGTAGGAGAATTGTATAATAGTGACTTACACTTCCCTAAGCACTTTGCATTTTTAGACTTCATCACACACTATTTTCTACTCTTCACTTTTATTTTTCAGCCATCTCTTCATCTATTGTTTCACAAGTATTTCCCTCATATCAAGAACATTTCAAATTTTTTTCAAAGAATTTTTTTTCATTCTCTCTTTTCTTTCTTTTTCATGTCACATTCTTTTCAAGAAGGCCTTTTCATCACCTTTCATCCATCATTGGTCACCATTTTTCACTTAACCATCCCATTCTTCAAATATATCAATTAATATCACGGTCTAAGCAACGGTGCTCAAGGAAGCAGGGTGCAAAAACTAGGGATTCAACAAAAGGATCAAGGCAAAAATACGGCTTCCAAACAAAAGGCTACAGGCTTAAAGGGCTAACTAGTGGTACAATATCTGAAAAGGCTAAAATTCACAAGACATATCAAAGAAAGCCTATTATCATCTTCTAAACAGAGCAACACTTTTATTTCGCTTCAATAACAAGCAGGGCAAGTTCTAAACTAAGATGCAAAACATGGAATATATGTAAGAAATCCTCACCACACATGGCACAAGTATCAATCAAGATGGATCAATTTCACTCTAAGACAGGCAGGATCATCGCGAACCACAAAATAAGAATAAGTTATATACAGAGTTACAACCCTGAGCTTGGGTATCAAAAAGTCTGCTATTTTATTTATTACTCAAGCACTCAGAGGAAAGTACGACTCAAGCTTAGGCCTAAATATGCTAGTATCAAACAAGTGACGAAAGTTTTTTTTCTTCTCCTCTTTTACTACTCCTAAAAATAAAGAAAAAAAAATTTAATCCTATAAAAAAAAAATTTACCCGGTTCAAGTTACATCCCCTGGAAAAGAACCGATGTACAAAGAAAAACCAAGGGGGATTATTATCTAACTAAAACTAACTAGAAACAAAAATAAAACATTTTTGATTTTTTTTATTGAACCTTAATCCCTCAAGAAACCTGTCCACAAAATCCATCGTCGGGAAAAGTCCCAATTTTCTAAATTTTTTTCTTTTTTCATTTCAATTTAAAACACAAGTAAATACACTAAGAAAAAGTAATACAACAAATCTAGGATTGCATAGAAAATCACCCAGACAATCTCCTCACCCCATACTTAAAATTGTGTAATGTCCTCAATGCACACTGAAAATAACAAGAGGGTAAAAGAAACTCCCTGGTAGGCCAAAGACCGAAGAATTAGCAGCTCATGGGATACTCAGACTTCTCCCAGGTATGATCCCTTGTGCGGGTACCTCACACTTAGTTTCAACCACCTGCTCGCTTTTGCACATGCCTATTGGCTTTGACTCCATGCTCCTACTCCTACAATACACAAAAATAATACTACAAAAAAAATATACAATAAAATAAAAAATAAACAAAAGAAAAAGAAAAAAAATAGAATTGGGTTGCCTCCCAACAAGCGCTTGATTTAACGTCGCAGCACGACGCCAACACTTTCATCACCTTTCCTTCCACTTTGAGGATATAAATTGCGCCCCCAATTTTGCATCAACTTTTGTATCACGTTCCTGGGGCGGTGGTGTAAAAATAAAGAAACCAAGTAATAGGTATCGCATCTTGCACTTCTTGGCCTTTAAGTGAGGAATGTCGTTTTGTCTCCTTGGTGTGGCAAATTTCAGAATATAAATACTTTGTTCCTCATCTATTGAATCCTCAATATGCTCTAGTGGATCAATTTCCATGTCACTAACCAAACACAATATTGAAAAGTGTTTAGAATGAGGTCCAATACGCTCCAACTCCAAAATTGCATTATTTTTGACATCCTCAATTTTGCACTCTTCGTCAACCTTGGCATCATTAATAATATTTTGGTCGAACAGTTGGAATTCCTCTTTTTGCTCCACAAGCTGGCTAGTATCCACAAAAATTGGTTGTAGGGCATCAGACGCCTCAACCTTTTTATTCAATTGAGCCTGCAAGTCATGGATATCTGAGCCAAATTGGTTTATCTCTTGCCTGAGCTCAATTCTTCCTTCTATTAGTTGTTCTGTCATATTTGAAAGACCATCACGGAGAAACTCATTAGATTTTATGAGTTGAGCTTGTTGCTCTAACCAAGATTGGCTCACTATATCCGCTTCTTCAAAATTATTTTCTGGTGGGAACTCGCTCTCTTCAGCCACTTCCTCCGCCTCGGCCTTCATTATCATGATTACTGCACTAATTCTTTGTATAGCCTTTCAATTTTCATCTTGTTGCTCGGCTATTTGCCTCAGAATATCCCTAATATATGCATCACGTTCCATATCCTTGTCATGACCCGGATTTCCCACCCTCGGGAGTCGTGATGCCTCCTACTAATGTGAGCTAGGCGAGCCAAACTTTTAATCTAAATACTTCATTAACCAATTATTTCCTTTTAACAAATATAAGGCGATAACGTGATAACAGCGGAAATTCAAATTTAAGCGAAAGGCAACAATAACATTTATGAAAACTGTAACTATTACAAATACTTAATCCTTAACCACCCAAAACCTGGTGTCACAGTGTCACAGACGGTCTAAGATTACTACATACAAGGTCTGAAGAAATAACAGTACACTGTTTCGGAAACAAGGAAAATGAAACAGGGAATAGAAGATAGAGGAGACGCTAGGGCCTGCGGACGCCTGCAGGTCTACCTTGGATCTCCGTGTGGACTGAAGGTAGCCAACTGATCTACTGTCCGTAGTCAGCAGCACTGGGATCTGCACAAAAGAGTGCAGAGTGTAGCATCAGCACAATCGACCCCATGTGC